CGGTAGTTTGGCCGGCAGCATTGGAGGCGGATTGTTGTTTCTGAGGTAGGGATGACGTGGCCTACCGTTGACTGACTTACTGACTCACTGACTGCATTGGTATTGATATTTGTACCCCCTAAATGTGTTCATCTATATATTTTTCATCCATCCAACCACTATTACGACGACTACTACTACTGCTTGTAATGTTGTTATTACTTACTACCACTGCTGCTACTACAAGTGGGGGAGGAGAAGGAAGGAAAGATATAGTGCAATGCCAGGTTTGGGGAGTAGCAATAGAAGAGAATATACATACACACACACACATACAGAGAGAGAGAGAGAGAGATATATTCTTATATTGATTGACTTATTATATTTGTTTATGGTTTTTGTTGTTGTTGTTGTTGTGGAGTGTGGAATTGTAGTATGTTCCCTCTTTGTCTGTCTGTTTGTTTAGTTTCGTTTTGTCTGCTTCCTTTTTCTAAACTGATTCCTATTGCATCACAATGATGATGATCAGTAGTAGTAGTAGTGCTGGGAGTGCTGCTCCCTTTCTCTCTCTCCTCCCTAAAATAGCAGCAGCAGCTGAATCAGCATTCTTTATTTAATTCATTTGTTTATTTGTTTATTACATGTTCAAGAGTGCAAGTTGTGAAGAACTACTGTAAAGTGTTTTGTGGAGGGAGAGTGTGTGTGCACACTTTCTGGGCCACACCATTGTTAAGGTGAAAGAGACACCCACAATGAGATTTTTACTTGAAAGGAGGGTGGATGAGGAATGGAGAAGTAATGCATGCATATGGAAGAGAGTAACAGATGAGGGCTTCGATATAAAGTGTGGTGAAGAGGGAATATGAAAGAAAGGCTATGTACATGAGGAAAGGAGAGAAGGGATGAGTTCTCTCCTTTAATGGAATGACTATCTTATGTATTTACTTGATTATACATATATATATATATATATATATATATATGTTTGTGTATGTGTGTGGTTTTCCTACTTTTCTTTGCATTTCTTGCCCTTTAGGGATAGGCTGCACATTGTAAATCTCCTGCCTTTACTAAGGTTATACCAACAGAGAGGAGACTTTATAATCAACACATACAAATTTAAAACATAATCTTTTAATTGAAACATCAGATTTAAAAACAAGTGAAATACATAAATTTATTGTAACTGAAAGTAAGCGAGAAAATTCTATTTACTTATTAATTTCGTATAAATTGAAGCTTTCCAAAATAACTAAAGCAATCATTTTAGAAATCAATGGAATATATCAATCTCTGAATTAGTATTTTTGACATTATTTTGAAAGTACGATAAAGGTAACTGTTATTTTTAACATTTTTTTATTCTTTTACTATCTTACTAACAAAGAAATCTGATACTTGGAATTTTGGTTAACACTTTACATTGAAATAATTTATTATTTCCTTAGTACTAAATATAAACATAAAAGGAAAAATTTAGATATTAAAGTTTTTTTATTTATTAAAAAATAATAAAAATATTTACATACTTATATTTTTATTCATGCATGTATATATATATATATAATTATAAGTATAATAAATTTAATAAAAATAATACTATGTTTAATTCTATACATAATATGTTTAATTCTATACATAAAGTTGTAAGTATTTAAACATGTATATATATATATATATATAATCAAAATCTTAATGTATTGTCATAGACCTACATATCTACTCCAATAATTACCTATACAATTAGCTAGAAATTGATAAAAATAGATTAATTTCATAATATCATCTATAAAAGCTTCTCAGAAGCTTTATAGATGCAGTTTTGACTTTATATGTATTTGTAGTTGATTAGAAGGTTAAAAACTTGGTCAAAAAATTAATTATATGTCACACATATATAAAAAACTTGCCTTGCAAGTTAAGATATGTATCTTGCAAAGTCAACACATGTTAGAAGTCCTATAGAATATTTCTATGTAGCTCTTAGTTAGATAGCATTTATGGAGGCAAGAGTGAAGTCTTCTTCTTTCTTGTCAACTCTTTTCTAGTCTTTAGTCTTGTTTCAAGACTTTTTAGTCTTCTTGTATTTAGAAAAAGCCATTTTAGTTTAATATTATATCATCTTTCAATAAATGTTTAGTCTTTTTGAGTGACATAAGAATGCCTTGATCTTTTACTTCTTTGAAATTCATATCTTTGACATATATTCAATACACTTAACTTATATCACCATCTAATTAAAGAATATTTCAATATATATATATATATATATATATATATATATTATCAATATTATTTTTAGAATATTTTTATTTATTATTTTTTGGACATCTATAACTTTTATTTTGTAAGTAGATTATTTTTAATTTAATATGGTGTTTGTTTTGCCATATGAACTTAATACAATTAAGAAAGAATAAAAACAAATAAAAAAATAAAATATTTCCTAAGGCATAAAAATTAGTAACTTCATGTGATAAAAAAATAATACAAAAAATAATCATTTTATAGAGAACGAAACATTGGAAAAAGAATGAAGTTTTTATGTTATAAAGTAATCAACAAAAAAAATTATAGTTAAGAAGACAAAACATTGTGTCATTTTCTTTTGTGTTTGATGTTTTACTTACAAGGCTAGGAATATTTTGAAAATGCTTCTATGAATTTGTTATCAAAGACAATCATAATATTTAAGTAAAATAATAAAAATAAGTTCAATTTTTAGAAACAAATTATATTTTTGTAGTTCTATTGGTGTGTAATATGGTCTTAAAGACCTCTTGTTGATTTTTATTGTTAAGAATCTTTAATGGAAGAATTCTATAATCTTAATATTTAAAATATCCAATAGATTTCTTTATGATCTTAGTTACATATATCCTTTTCATCTTATATTTTTGTTTCAAACAAAAAATTTAGATTATTTATTTTTTAATAAAGTTATATAGATTTAAACTTATAATAATTTTAATCCAAAATTATACATATCTATAATCACAAAACAAATAAAAAAAAATACACTAACCAATGGCATGACAAGAATTGGAAGACAAATGGAAGATTAGAAGTTTGGATGAAGATAAATAAAGGACATGATGATATTTTCATGTACTTAAGTCGAGGCCTTAACATAATAGAGACATTCTTTTTATTTGTATGGAGATTAAGTCAATGTAATAGTAATTGAGATTTAGCAGCAGACTTGTTTTAAGTCTCCTTGCTTATATAGATCCTTAGAATTTTTAATTATGGTAAAGCTTATTTTTATTCTAATCTTATTGTAGATTGATTTTTCAAGTATAATTGTATAGAAATATTGGAAAAGAAAAGCATTTAAATCACACACTAAACTACCTTAAAATAATATCAAAATCTTTGTAGATTCATCAAAGGTTTTGTAGAAATTTAGAGCATTACTACTAGTTGGCATCAATGAGGATGCAAGATTGGTAAATGGCATGGCAGCATAGCATATAAGTTAGGGTGGCCTCATCATAGTCTCCATCTATTGATGTTAATTTGCTCTCTAGAAAAAGGTGAGGCCAAGAATGGGCCCCAATGAACCTATAAGAGGTAGCTCCATGGTGTCTGATATATTAGCTATCAACAATCCTGATAGGTCTCAAATGTGATGTTGCTAGGCTGTTGACAAGTGCCAAATCCAATGCTATATGGTTGTCACGAATATATGCATGTAAGCCAATAATTACATGTATGAATAAGTAGAAGTAAGTAAAAGTAGGTAAAAGTATGTTAATTCTATAGTATTTGATATGGAAGCTTCCTAGAAGCTTTATAGACACTACTTTGATTTTATAGGTGTCTTTAATTGACTTTTTGGAATTAGAAACGTGGTCAATAAGTTGACCATGTGCCATACATATTGTTAACTTGAAGACTAAGCTAACTATGTGGCCCACATGTAGAAAAACTTGCCTTGTAAGTCAAGGCATGTATCCTACAAAGTCAATACATATTGGAGGTCCTATAGAACGTCGCCACATAGCCCCTGGTTAGATAGTATACATAGAGACAAGAGTGAAGCCTTCTTCACTCTTGTTAACTCTCTTCTTGCTTTTAGTCTAGTTTCAAGGGTCTCTAGTTTTCTTGGCTTTTGGCAATAGCCATTCTAATTTCTTTTTTAATATATATATCAAGTTATTTCTATTTTGTCATCTTTCTATGAGAGAAGTCTCACTTGTTTATTTGTCTTTATCATGTTCTTATCCTTGACAATGACTGCTTTATACATGCTTTATTTAGATACTACAACGAGGCCTGGCCTAACTTCACTAAGTTATTTCCATAGCATGCTGGTGAAAAAATGGAATTAAATAGTTAATATGTTATATATATTTTAGTTTGATTTTATTATTAAAAATAAAATTATAACCACTATAATAAAATATGAATATGATTATTAATATAAATAATATTTATATATTTTTTAATATTAAAGTTTAATGTATTTGTAAAAGTTTAATGTATTTCAAGAGAGTCCTAAATGTGATTAGTTTAATTGCTATGTAGAGCAATTGGAGAGTTGGACACACATATTTATATTTATGTATGAATATAATTATGCATATATTCTTTTATGTTATTTTATTTTTCTTTGCATCTTAAGTTGCTATTTTGTTATAAATTATAAAGACATTCAAAGCATATACAATATTATATTAAAATTGGGTAATGATTTTTTAATATAATATAATTTTTAACAATTTTAACAATTTATTTAATCAAATTTTGAACTTTTTATCATATGTATGTTAAATTATGATAACATATTAAATTTATAATTTCTGTTAGTCCTTATATTTTTTTATTTATACTTTCTCTCTCCTTCCTTCTTACCGTGTTCACTTTTTCAATATTTGGTTTTTTCTCAAATGTGTGTGTGTGTATATATATATATATATAATACAGTGATGCTCTCTCTGATGAGGGGAACGGGAACGTAGTTAATGTGAAGCAGTTAAAGGTATTGAGGGAGGGGGGGGGGTCTGACAACTCAACCTCGCGTTGAATAACTTAGAAAGTGCGTCACAGAGACAGACACAGAGACAGACAGACAGACACAAGGAGAGAGAGAGTGTGTGTGGGTGTGTGTGAGCGGTGGCTTCTGCAGACATGATGGCGAAGGTTTAATGGCCGCCTACTCTTTTCTCCCCTATTATCTCTTTCCAACTCTCTCTAAAAGTGTCCCTCGCCCTTGCTCTCTCTTTTTTTTCATTCATTCTTTCTCCGTGGCTGCTTATGTGAGATGATGGTGTGCGGCTGGAGTGATTACCGAGGGGGGTTGTTGCAGGGCAGCCGCTGATTAAGCAAAGCACTCTTACTAATTTTGCAGGCCGCCACAGGACAACGCACTGCCAATGTTAGTTAGGCGCTGCTGCATGCAATTGCTGAGGAGGAGGAGGAGGAGGAGAGAAGGTAGAGGAGATAAGATCCCCCCTGCCTCTTGGGGTTTGATGAGTGTGGGATTTCGGGTGTATGTTTATCCATCCGTGGTATGTGTCAACAGCCAAGAGATTCGTTGTGCTTTGCTGCGGCTGGCCTTCCTGAATTTCCGGCTCCATCCGTGCTTAGGTGACCCTTGCCTGCCATCAATCTCTCAATCAATCCCGCGCGCCCCGCTCCGCCTCGCCCTCTCCTCTTCCCTCTTCCTCTCCTTCTCGCTCTCTACCTCTCCCTCTCTCTGCCTCTCCCTCCGACACAGCCTCGGCGTTTCTGAACAAGAAGAACGTCGTCCAGGCGTGTTACGTCAAGATCAAAACGGTGTGCAGACTGCAGTACTAATCAGTTTCACCCGAATGCTTGTTACATGTAGGTCTGAGAGTTGATGTTCTCTGGTAGTCTCCGCCCTTAGGTTATGAAGCGCACTCTTGTGTAGCATGTTTCTGCGATCCAAAGAGAGAATTAATACAGTAAACCTTTTCAGAAATTTCCTGCAGATCCACTGAAACGGCCTGTGAGGTGATTAGTATCTTCCATTTCAAGTGTCTAGCCTTCTGAAGTCTCATGCCTGCAGCTTTTCGTCATAATTGGGATTTTTGTTGCTACCGCCTTTTGCTCAAGCCTTAACCATTGTTAAGTCGAAGGTCTCTTGTCCTTCTTAACGGTGCGTACCGAACTTAGCGCAGTTGCTGTTTGTTCCTACTTCATTACCGGGTAATCTAGACTGAGGCCGACTCTTCTTTCAGAACGACGTACGACTGTTGAAGCCTTTCCTCACCATTTTCAGGTCGCGGTTAGATGATAGATCAGTTATTGCATGTTAGTCCTGGTCCTCTATGGTCGGTATTCTTCTCTATCACATTTTTTGCGTGAGATTTTATAGTGTCACATCTCCTATTTCATCTGCCTTGTAGTTATTGTAGGGAGTGGTTGTATAAACGAACGGAACGTCTGCCGCGACCTGTCGTGCAGTTTACACTGGGTTGCAACATTTTTCTGTAGCTGAATTTTTTGCAGTTTTAGCTTCAAGCGTTGATAGGAATTCTGATTCTAGGGTAGCGCTACATCTTGAATCAGCTCCCAACTTCGCCTGAATCCATTGAACTTATTCCTGCACTTCAGCGTGTACATACAGCCAAACCTCAGCACACATGAAACAACTGTGCCACTCTTGCTCGCTACAACAAATAATCACAAGCAAGTACACGTACAGCGCTTCTTCAAACGAACTGAAGTTGGATTTGTAGAACAGGATGCGGAAGTTTCTACTGTAATAGAGCTTGCTGTGACACGAGTATCGGTATGAACCAGCAGGAATATGGTAGCTGAAGCAACGAGTTACAAGTGAAGTGTGACCTTGAACCAGCAAGTGAACAGTCATGGATTGCGTGGCGGCCTCCACGGTCGATTGCAGCATGTGTGGCGATGTGGGATTTTCTGATCAACTCCAGCAATGTAAAGCATGTGTTCGCGTTCAGCACTCGTACGTGCTCTTTCCTTCTGGAGATCACTCGTTCTTATATTTTCACGAAGACCTTGCAATCCTGACATCTTTGGACCTATCCTTTCCTTTTGCCTAAATTAGTGTATGACTGTTGAGCCTCACGGTCAAATTTTTCGACAACTGTAAGATTTCGGTTTACGTATTGTTAATCTGGACTACTTGTGGTTGCTAGTCTAGCACTTTTCAGCTCGCACTGGATTTAATTAATCTCCTGTTCCTTAAGTATTAGTGGCGTACAGGAGTGTTATGTTTAGATATTCGGCGGTGGCGTCGATCATGGCGGATCCTAGATAGATGCATCACACCTCGTCTTATAAATTTTCTTTATCGGCGATTTCATTGCCGACTGCTAGAAATTCATGTTACAGTGATGTGAATCGTCTGCTACGATCTTCATGAATATAGGAGAATGCTGTGATAGAGGAGTTGCAACTGAATTTCATTTGAATCGTTGTCATCGTTCTCATGATAGCGATATTGATCTTCTAACTGGTTGACAGAAGTCATGATCCTCAATTCCCCTTGGGTGTGTCCTTAAGAACCGAAGTTTTAGTTGGCTAGTATGGCGTCCTTTTTCTGAGTCACGGCGATTGCTTCAAGTCAAGAATCGTGCTGTAATTAGAGGGGAAGAACTGGACCAGCGAGTGATGCACCATCAGTGTGTGATCAGATACTCCCGTTTTTTATGGTCGTGCAGGAGCGCTGATTTGTAATGGATATCCCTCCGTCGAACATTTATTCTACTTAGAATTGTTCTTATTTACTTATTGCTATCGCATAGGTACTGCGTTATCGATACTTTTCATTGCCCATGTCTGATATTTGCACTTTTTGTTTCAACTGCCAAAGCCATGCGCTTGATTTAAGTTGTGATCTTAGACATCACCGCAACAATTTTAACAGTCCCGTATCGTAATGCTTCTACCAATATAATGTTGTCATTGGGTATGTTCTGTGATGGTTTAACTGAGTGGAAGCTTCGGACTCAGACGATGTAACTGTTGTCTTTGGCAGATATTGTTCCGCGTTGAAAGAGGGTCTCGAAACTGGAAACTGGGTCTGCGATTGGTGTAGATTGGAGAGACAGCGTAAATCTAAAGTTGAGAAACATGCATCCTTCGTATCAAGAACGAAGGAGGCTACTCGAGAATTGTCACAGTGTACGTTAAAATCCTCAGATAATGGCCTTGAATTTCTAATTAAGGCAGTGCTGTCAACCAAGGAGGAATTTCCTCCATCAGCTTCTTTGACGACCAGAACTGGAAATTGTAGCTCCAACTGTTCTTCAAGTGTAGAGAGTGAGAAATTGAGTTCTGGCGTTCGTTCTGCCTCTTGCCCGCTCGGTGGGGCAAGATCAAATCTGCGCAAACAGGGCGGGGCCATTGACAGTAGCATTTCAGATGAAGAAGGAAGTATTGGAACTGTTCAGGTATTTCATCCACATATCTTATGTCATCTTTGCACAATCCTGTAGTTGCTGAGTTTTGCAGGCTTGGGCATTGTTAGGTCTAAAAGTATGTTTAATACTGTATTTCGGTTTCACAGATGCGAACGAGTGCTTCTTGTGACAATAAGCGAAGTCCAAGCAGCCTTCGTTGCAGTGTTCGAGGAAGTAGAGGTTTGAAACAAAAGCATTCGGATGTAAAGACATTAAGGACTCAGATGTCATTGCCATCAAGACATAATGCACCTACACCATTAAAGAGGCTCTCTTCCCTCAAGGTACTGTCTCGCTCCAACAACATTACAATGGGAGACGATCAATCGAGGGGTCTTGTGAGACGATACAAGTCATTATCCGACATATGTTATTGACTTTTCTCATGAACACTGTCTGAAGTTCACCGAGATAACATTGTTGTTCACCCTACGAACCCACGTCAAGTTGGACATTCTGCTGTAACAATTTCTTGCCTCTTGCGACAGAGAAGGTTTGTGTTTCTACACATTTTCACAAACTTTCGATGAAATCTGGATGCTTTGACTAAGACTAAGACATTCCATGGGATTGGCTGGGCTTCTAACCGTTAGTCTCCTCAATGTGCGTGTTCACTGGTGAAAAGTGAGGGCACGTCCTAAAAGAGTGCCCCTTCTCGAGTGTTCTTTGTTCGGAACATTTTCCCTTATGGTTTTCGTATGCCTTAGTGGGGCGAGTTTATCTACACCGGTTAGAAGGTGGGATGGTTGTGCACGGTTAAGCTCAGTTGGTCTTTGGATCTGTAAACATAGCTCTATAAGAGAACCACTGGACAGAATCCAGATTTCTCTTGTTGAGAAGAGTTGTTCTCTATTATAATAGTTCGGGATTCTGTTTTTCAGGACTTGGCACTGTCGTGAGTTTACTGCGTCTAGGCAGAATTCTAGTCCATTTCTGGGGAGGGATAGTTGCAGCACATAGGGCGTAACCTAATAGAGGGATGTACAAGAACAGAAAAAACAAAAAGGATTGTATCTATTAAAAATCGTTTTCTGTTTTAGTAGACCCTCAAGTGGCTGTTGTTATCCGACACGAACCACTTGTCTTCAAATGTGTGTCGACCTGTAATTCTAGTGTTAAATCCATTTTTCTTAATTTGCATGCAGTGCTTGTGGTATGCACACATCACTAAAAACACTTATTAATGTGCCTTTTTAAAATTTATTATTACGTGGAAACGTTGCATATGATAATTAATATTATTATTAGCAAAGTAACAATCGTGGTATGGCATAATTCCTTTTAGCATCTTGTATGCTTCGATGCAGATTAATAGTGAAGGAATGGGACTTAAGGCAATCTGTATGGTTCCCTCAAAGGTGATAGCAATACTTGGATTTCCACATGGAAACCTCATCTCTAGTTTTTTTTCTAACCAGGTCTGGATTCACATGGATGTGAATTAGTAGCCTTAAGATGAATGACTGGTACCCTAAAAACAGGTTTACTAAGGGCACCATAGCAGAAGATCATTCTGAGAACAAATCACCGTAGATCTATTGGAGCTGCAAGATTCTTGTCTGCAGATGAGTCAAATCCAGGGCTATCCATCCAAATCTAGGGCTGTCCATCCAAATTTTTGCCATAGTATGCAGGAATGAGGGAGGAGTTTCTTCAGGAGGTGTGCAGAGGATGTCCCTTTTCCTCTTTTTACGAACGTTTGTTCAACACTGGATTACTGGTGGAGAGGATGTAGCTGAGTAATTTAACAGAAGTCTGTATCCACAAGCCGCTGGACCTATATGGTAAGAACACTTAGCCAAGGGTCATGAGTGGGCTAGGTCCCATTCATGGATACCCCACCTCATTTGGTTTGCATGCTGACAGAATGATATAAAGTGCCAAGGCAGACATGGCATGTCCTACTTCATAGCTTGCACGCCTGGTCCTATTATCAAATTAGAAAAAGTTGATCAATGGGGTGCTAAAGTGGATCTAGAACCCAGGCATGTGATGCCTTCCTCAAAAACAGGAACAAAAGAAAAGCTGTGCAATGTTTTGTTTTGATTTGTTTTTTGGATTTTATTTATTCAAACAGGGCAACAGCCATCATGTTAATTCGTTGGGAAAGGAAGGAAAAAAAAAAAAAAAAAAAACTTTTGTCTTAACACCTGTAGAGGGCGAACAAGGAGCAATGAAAACATATTGTATTACAGTTTTTACCTATCAGTTCATTTTTTTGACTGTGTGTACATAACTAGCCCACAGCAAGAGATTCTTGTCCCACATTCAATGGATATCTTTATTGTAAAGTCTAATAAATTATTGTAATTTAAGACTTATTTCATCTTCTCAAGGAATTTGCACTCATCCATGGTTTTTTTTTTTTTTCTTTTTTTTTCTTTAGTATACTTCTACATTATTCTATTATAAATTTTATATTTTAGTATAATAATTTTTTCATATGGTCATCATGCCATATTTTTTTTGGACATAATCACGACAATCCAGTCTTCCTTTGCAAACTAAGCACTTTTGCCAACACATACTCTTCGTGTACTTCTGTTTTACCACTAAAGAATTCATTTTTGTTGCAGCCCAACATAGTGTCTAGCATTTGTCTAATCAATCCTACGAACTGGGTGCGAGGTCGCATGCAACCCTAATCCTAAAAAGCCAAAAATACTTGGAGCGATCTGCAGGGTTGTGCAGATGCACGGCTGCTAACTCTACACACACACCTGCACGGTGTACTGGCAATCTTATATCTGAGAATCAGACAACTTTCAATCGTCCCAACGAGACTTGGCGTTGCTGACCTTAAACTTTCACTCCCTGCAACAACCAGCTCCACTCTCTTCTACCTGTTATTTCCCAACACAGACTTATGGTCGAGGACTCCTCCATCGCACTCCCTCGGACTTTGCCTCTTGACTCACACTGATGCAACTTGAACTGCTCAACGACCATAAAAAAGCTGCAAGTTCTTTCCTTGTGTGTCTGTTTTCTCGTCTTTTGTGGCTGAGGATGCTAGTTACGGTGTAAGGTATGGGCTCCAGTGCGCAGGACTTCACAACCGTTTGGTGATGTAAGTGGAGTTTCCCCGTGTAAGTGGTCAGTGGTGGCGATTTTCTCAGGATTTCTCCGAAGACAAGCATGTCAATCGAACGATCGGTGGCTTGCGGCCATTCTCTTAGTTCATCGACGGGAGGGGGAAGCACGAATGGAACCTGGCAGCAGCGAAAAGAAGGAGAATGGCTCCTACTCAAATGGCGCGATATTTGTTGTAGTGCAGAAGACGATTTCCATTTTTTGACTGAGTCTCCGTCGACAACAAAGAGGAAACCCACGTGGTACCTAAGCTTTAGGAGAGAAGCCCTCGCACAGCGGCATGGTGTGGCTGGGCTTAATAAGAGGAGTAGGGGAGGTTTTGATCGAGATTCCGAATCCCTCCATCACTGATACACACAAAGTTCGATTGGATCCAGTGAATCGGTAATCGGATGATGATCCAGATACTGTGGCAATGTGTTGGGATCGGCGCCCTCCCACCCCGCGGTTCGGGAGGTCGACCAGGATTCCTGTTGGCAAATAAAATCCATTTCGTTTCTAGCTTTCCAGCTTGCTACACGCCGCCTTTCCGAGCCCATTATCCAACACCCCCGGTTCCGCGTTGTTGGGCCTGTCGGGATAATATCATACGGGCCATGTCCACCGGCTGAACCCTACGGAACGACCACGCATCGCCGGTGGATGGATGCACTGCGGCTGCTGCAGAGTCCGATTCGATTCGTCCACCGAGTTACTTTTGACCATCGTGCCGCTAATCCGGACTTGCAGCTAAATGGCACTGTGTCTTCTTTTTGAGCACTTTGTCGTTGAATTCGGAGACGTCTGCAGAGTCTGCCTGCTCCAGAAGCTTGGGTAAGACTCCTTTTTCAATATAAGAATGTGTGGGTCTACCCATCACGGAAGTGGTGAATGATCGATCCATCGAAATCCCTTCTTTTGCGGGGTAGTGGGGGGGTGGGGGGACCAACTAACTGTCTATTGAACGCAATTACACCACGCGCAGGTGGAAGGAGCCTCCTCCTAAGACTCTCCAATGGTCGTCAAGCGTGAAGTGATTGATAATCATGCAATCGGGAGATGTCAGATGTTACACTTGAACTGAAGATGACGTTATTCTCGCTAAAATCTTACATATCGACGTTCTCAGATTTTACCATCGATTATTGATCAGCCGGGCAACTTATAATGTGCAGCTTCTTCTACCAGATGGGACTACGACAGTGCCAGTGTGGCAGCTCTTAGTGGCGACCGAGTGGACAGCTCTGGAGGCATGAATGGATCAATGTCTTCCAACAAGAGTTCAATCCTCCTAGATCCAATACACCAGCAAACGTCCCCTTTCTCGTGGTCTCTGCAGTGCAAAGCTTTTTCGAGAAACATTTAGCCCCTGGCCTGCGTCAACTAAGCACTCGACTCACCCGCTGGATTGCTAATGTAGAAGTAGGGTTTGGAATTTTCCTACCACGAGACGATGCACAATTGAAATGGGCGTCGGCCTGAACAGAATCGTACTACTATTCGTAATTTTATAAATCAAAAACAGAAAGAAAAGAAAAGAAAAGAAAAGAAAAAAACGAGCTTATATATATATATATATGTATGTATGTATTGGTGCCATGCATTTAATTTGGCCTACCGATTGATGGAGAGCATGTCACGGCTACGTACATGAATTAACTTGTGGCTTACCACTTCGCCTTGGTGCTCCGACATGTGCCACATGTTTGTCTTGCATTCGGTTGCTTGTGCAGGCAGCCACTGTGTCAACCACTCCTTGTTGGCCCACCCATGATCGTGACGGAAGAAAGTGCCCTTGCAAGGTGGGCAATGGTGCATCACTGATGGCACTCTCATGTGGCGTTGGTACCAGTTTCTTTCTGTGTCCGGATAATGTTAATCGTGGCAATAGTTCAACATATTACTCTTCCTTAAGTGATACAAGTCCATGGTTCGAATCACGAAGTTGAAGTATTATATTCTCTCACTATGGCGTCCCTGTTGTCGCAGTACTGAGGCACGTTTTTTCCCCAAATTCTCTGTTTAAATGTTCGTTTCCTTCGGAGTTCACTATGTGACTCTAAAATTTGTAGTCTAAAATTTGATTAAGAAAAAGCACTATTTGAGATTATAAGTGAACACAAAATCTAAAATGTTATAGTAATATAAGAAATAACATCAAACATACAACCATAATGTGGTTTAAACCAACGTTCAATAAACAATGTTTTAGAAGTATTATTAATCTATTGTATATTAAATATAAACCTTGGATTAGAATACATGAAGTGCTCTTTAAGTTCATGTAACATATATCCTTAAATGTATCTTAAAACTTCAGAAATTACACAAGTCATGAAACATTCTCATAAAACAAGTATTGAATTTTAATTTTAAAATTTTAACTTGATTAAAAATTATAATACATTTATTATAATTTAAAGTTTCTAATTAATACATGCATTAAAAAATTCATTATAATAATAAAAGGAAAATTCGGAATCTCTCTTAATACTTTAAATTAAAATTAAAATTAAAAAAATATTTTTTTTACTACATAATATTTTTAAAATATAATATTATTGATACAAAAATTAAAAATACCTATAAAAAAGATTAAAATAAAAAACATATTACATAAAATGTGTATACATACTAATTTTTTTTATTAAACTTATTAGTATTAGAAATTACTAAACAAACATTAGATATTAATTAACAGTTGTAATTATATATATGTAAATGATATATATATATATATATATATATATATATATATATATATATATATGTAAATGATATATATATATATATATGTAAATGATATATATATATATATATATATATATATATGTGTGTGTGTGTGTGTATATATGCATGTATGTACACACATACATATACACAACTAATATATTATGGCTTATGTACATTATATACAATACATGTATATAACATATAACACTTTCAAACAATATGTATTTCAAACACACAAATTTAATCCACATTATTAAAAAAAATTAAATTAATAATGTAATTAATTAAATAAAAAATATGATAATACTATTAATGATTTCAATAAATATGTTTCCAAA